TCAATGGCCTAAACCATTTTTCTTAATATCGGATGTACGAAAAACATAGCGATTATATCTAAGATGAACTAGACAAAGAAAAACATCTCAAACTACAAAAGAATTTACATATTACTTTAAAATCAATGCTTGAAAAATCGAGGCCAACAACAAAAGCAAAATCAACCCTAAAAGACAATATAGAATATAGTTCGATAGTTCGAAAGTTACAAATTTTTTTGTTGTTGTTATTGTTGTTATTCCCGTCGTGGGAACAGTAGAATATTTTAATAATTTTTGTTCGTTCAACAGGTGTCAAATTCACGATAGTGTCGTACAATAACACTTTCGGTTAAAGTCCTGAATGTATCAAAGACCTAAACCGTTTTTCTTACCCTTCGGTGTACTAAAAACTGGGCGGTTGGATCTAACGAAAAACAAATATTCCCAATCTACAAAAATATCTGGATATTGACTTGAAAGTCATTACTTGAGAAATCGAAAGAACCTTGCTACCTTGCGACCAAAAAATGCTACTTTTAGCAGAAAAATATTAAAGTTATATTAGTTATTATAGTAAATTTATTATGCTTCTAATTATATACACGAAAAGGTGACTCTCCAGCCTGGCTGACTGAAATAAATGAGAAATACGAACGTAACAATGACAACAACCTAGTCCGGTAGAGCAAGAATAAATGAAAGCTTTTCAGATTCGAAAGTTGTTCAGCAAAAACCAACAGAAAAGACCGGCTAATCGGCCGGTCGATTAGATTAATGGAGGTTAGAAGGAACTGAACAAACTGCAAATACAGTTGAGACATTTTAAAAATCTTCCAGAAATACCCTTTATGCTATTTATCTAACAAAAAAATTAATCAAACATGCGCACAAAATAGTGGATTTGTGCATATATGTATATATTCAAATTAAATTTCACTTTTTCTCACACTCCAAATCACTGTGTTTGCAAATTTTTTCGACCAGACGTCTGCATAATATTTTAGCCCAATTATTATTACCGGCTTGTGCTCTTTATTGCCATCCTCTTATCATTAATCTCTTTTTTTTTGACAACCAACATCATTTTAGGTCATGGCTAACGACTGGTCAAGCGTGATCTGGTGCGATGCGTAAATATGCCGATGTCAATACGTATTTATATAAGCATAAGTATGTGAATTCATACGCATGCGCATATAAGTTTTAATTTTCGTGTGAACATTTAGAGGCAAAACTGTACTAAATTCCATTCTTTTTAATAATTATGACTAAATGACTTAATTAATTTTGACCTTACTTCTACGCATGCGCGCGCATATAAGTGTGAGAAAAGTGTAATATGAAATCGGAGAGTAAATTAGTGTAACCATCATAGAAAATAAGTCCTTTTTAGTTTCATTATTTCATTCATATTGACAAGTGAGCAAAATAATGATTCGAAAATTTAGTGAATGAAGCGGACCTAAGGCAAGGCCACATATGTATGTAAAAGTGTAGGACATAACAAAAGACACAATTCCCATTTTCTTCCCTCTATTTTCGATATTGACCCATATTAAAGGCAAGAAACAATAAATTTCTAAATTTTTGACGAAAGAAAGTTCGAAATCGATTGGGAGTATTGGAGAAAACGAAGTTTCAACAAGATAGAGACATACTATATAGACGGTATCTGTTCTACGCGGAACGAAACGATTTTCGTACAGGGAAGTTCGAAAACAATTTTAACGGCCTCAAGATTAGAAATTTTGCAAGGCATCCTCGGTACTCGAAGCCTCTTAGTCCTCTTGAAACGTTTTTGTTCGTTCTTTCAAAATAAAACTTATAAGCGTCGACAAAGGTCAGCTTTTATTGAAAACATCGCTTTCCTTGAAACATATTTTACATATTTTCGTTTTCTTTTCATTTCAGCATCTAAACACTTTCAAAAAGGGAAATAAAAAAAAAACACCGAATCTCACAATGAAACGCCGGAAGCTACTATTATGTTGGACCATCCTACACTCCGGTCTCAGCTTAATTGCTTTTCTCACATTACTGCTTAGTAAAACCACACAAGCTGCGATTGTGCCACCGCCTTGGAGCGATCCAGAAAAGAATCCCTGCGCCAGCATGCCCGGCGGTTGGCAATTGCTCTACTGGCCGCCGCTTAAACAGTGCTTTAAAATCTTCACAATCGGCTACCCGTGCCCGGAGACGATGGAACTGAGCCCAGCCCCGAATGTGGGTAAAACGAAATCGGCGCGCCTTAATGCACCAGCAGCTGAATGCCGCTGTCCGCCAGGCACTGCGCTAAGTGCGGAGACGAATAAATGTCATGAGATATTTAAACGTGGTCCATGCGAACATAGTGCATACTTTGCGCCATTACCGGAAGAACGCGCGGCAATTAGTAGCGGACGAAGGTGAGTTTTTCATACAGGATGGGCATTGTTTAAGCACTTGCCTTCTTTTTCTCTACAACTGACAGATCCAGCAATCGTTGGGGCAGCTGTAAAATGGCCAAACAATGTCCGGTTGGCATGATTTTTTGGCCCAAAGATGGCAGATGCTATGCGCAGTACACGAAAGGGCCTTGTGTTAAAGGCAAGCTGCTGGTATTGAATGAAGATGGACTGGGTGAATGTAAGGTGTGTAAAAAAGAAATTAGTTCAGAAAATATCACTTTTCGTTGAACGTGTTTTAGTGTGAACCGGAAGGTGTACTGCGTGATTACTTTTACGATCCCGAAGAGACCTGCCATGAACATTATACCAAGGGTCCTTGCTCAACACCCGGTGAGCTCTTTCTGCCTGGTGGCCGTTGTGATTGCCATCGGCATTTGCCGCACTACAACGAGGATCATCAAATGTGCTACGAATTGAGTATAATTACAAATAATTTTGTCTATTTGGGTTTTTGCAAATGCTCAATATGCATGTTTCACAATTGCAGACACACCTGGGCCCTGTCCGCCGGGCCATATCTTCAATCTACCAGACAATTTTACAGTCGCCAACACAGCGACAGATATACCGCGCGCACAGTGTCAGTGCAAGGACGGCTATGTACCCTGGAATGATGGACTGTGCTACCGCCTCTACACAAGGGGACCATGTGGGCCCAACGAATTTCTAGTTAATGCAACCAATTGTGTGCGCAACTTTTGCGGCAAAAGTCGTCTGTATTTTCCCGAGGAGAATACATGCTATCGCATTGGTTCTCAAGGTCCGTGCTCATTGCATCAGGTGGTCGTATTCGACTTCACGTCGCGACCCTCGGTCGATGGCATTTCTTACAATGGGATATGTGGTTGCTCCGGCGTCATTTGGAATCTCGATCAACAATGTTCGAATATCGATAATGGTGGCACAGAAGATGAGAATACATGCGAATCGACGCCGGGTATGGTAGAGCTGAATGGTAATTGTTATAAATTATATACGAGAGGACCATGTGGACCGGGCCAATGGTTGGAGCCGGTCAAAACACATACACTCGGTTCGCAAACGCAACGCTTTTTAGATACGAAGGCGAAATGTGTCTGTCGGCCCGGCTATACTCTCGCCGAGAATGCTGGCGAGGATGAGCAAAATTTACCACGTGCGCGCATAACACGCTGCAATGCGCCCACGGTGGGATTAGCGAGGTATTTGAATAAGCAACGTGAAAATTCGAAATTCAATACAAATTTTAATTTTCCCAACTTTCAATTTTGAAACTAACAATGTCAGCCTTTCATTTGCCTAAGTATGTATGTATGTAAATATATTAAATTTAAGATGAACTGAGCGCTGTAAACTTTGCTGCATACAAACTTTTTTCAATTTGTTATATAACTATTTTGTTAAACTTTCAACTCTTCTATTGTAAATTTTTTCAAATTAACTGTGTAAATAGACATTCTATTCAGCTATTCAGCACTTATTTGGGTCCTATATATATTGTATATATGTCAATATCTATATGTATATATGTATTTAAATGATTCAATATTTACAACGCTCTGAACTATAAATGTGGCTCTTTGGTGCATGCCAACCTCTGCTCAACTATCCTGCTCTCTTGCCAACTGTTTATATACAACATAACTACAACAACTCTCTGTGCCTGCGTCTGTTCCTCAGCATGCCCGCATGTTTGCCTTCATAATCGATAATTCTTACGTATTATCACTTATATTTATATAAATTGACTGTTATAAATATTTTTCGATTCTCTTCATATTTTTTTAGATGGTTTTTAGAAATTTTCGGATAGCACGGATAAATCAAACATAATAGAAGGCATAAAATTTAGGCATTAAATTAATTGTAAATTAAAACGAAAATTTGATGTAAACATTAAACACTTAAGATAATCAAGAAATTATAATTAATTCGAAAAACTATCTAGTAGTTTAAGTAAGCAACATATTGTTACTGTGTGTTTGAGATTTCTGTGTGCCATTTGAAATCAAATGTATGAAATAAAATGTAAAAAATTAAAAGTGCATGTGTTTTGATTTAAAAGTCACAAGTTAACCTCAGAGGGAGCTGGCAGCCAGCTGGCCCTATAAAAGAAAAGTAGGCACCGTGCCAGAAAAGTGCTTAGGTGATGCTCGCGCTTGGGATGTGATTTAAAAGTCGGGAGTTCACCTGAGAGGGAATTGGCTGCTAGCCCAATCTATAAAACTGCTTAGAAAGTCACAAGGTGACTTCAGGGGAAGCTGGTTCTATAAAACTGCTTAGAAAGTCACAAGGTGACTTCA